GGCCCGGAGGGCGCGGGGGACGCCACGGCAGGTGCTCGCCGCGCACGGGGGTCGGCGGGGCCGCGCCCGAGTGTCAAGCACTGGCCAGATGCACGGCACTCCTGCCGCGCGTGCGCGGGCCTTCCGCAACGGGCGGCGCGCACGCCCGGGAGCCTGGCAGCAGGAGCCCCGTAGCGGGCGCCTTCGGGCCATACGGGGAACGATGCGCTGAAGCACGTTGTGCGGCAGTTTCGGGTGGGAGGAGCGTCTCCCACAGAGGCACGCGGTTCGGAGGAGGGTAAGGTACCCATGCCGCTACTACCCTTCGCTCGTTTTCTCCTTTTCGGGCCTCTTTGGAGGCCCTCGTCGCCACCGCTGGATTCGCCTCGAAATTCTGGCCCGAACGCACCCTGGGAGAGGTCCGGGGAGTGGCGGTATCGTCGGTACACTTTGGTTTCCCCAGTCGACAACATAGGCACACCGTATTAGCATGCCCTCCCTATGCGTCCCGCAGCAGGCCCAGTAAGCTGGTGGGCAGGCCACGAGAGGGGGCAGCGCTGGTGTTCCCCGTGTTCGTGCGGGGCGGCCGGCCCGCAGGAGAAGTCGATGTTCGACGGGAACCAGGAGAAGAAGACGATCATTGAGAGGTACTGGGGCAAGAAGTTCGTGGTCCGGACGGACACCTGGGAGTACGAGCTGTACAAGGACGACTGGGAGATTGGGTGGCCCAAGACGGGCATCTGGTCGAAGGACTTCCGGATGCCGATCAACGGGAGGTATGGATTCATAAAGCGCGAAAGGGAGCTGCGCGGTGAGTACGCTGGGATGGTGAAGAAGCTGTTCAAGAGGCACAGCCATGGCTGGAAGTACCCGAACGGGAAGGCGGTCCACCTGACCAAGCTCCAGCACATCCCGTTCACGAGGGAGATCTACGGAGAGAAGTATGCCGGGAAGGCTAGGCAATCAGAGACCACACAATGAAGCATACATTCTCGGACGTACGAAGGTTTATCCATATGCCTTGTGTGGCATTCTGGTGCCCACGGCGACAAGGCTGAGGAGGGAGGAGGAGGAGGAGGAGGAGGAGGAGGAGGAGCAGGAGGAGGAGGAGGGAGGAGGAGGAGGAGGAGCGAGGATGAGGGGCGGAGGAGGAGGAGAGGGAGGAAGGAGAGAGCAGGAGGAGGAGGAGGAGGAGGAGGAGCAGGAGGAGGAGGGAGGAGGATGATGAGGAGGAGGTGGAGGAGAGGAGGAGGAGGAGGAGGCGGGGGGGGAGGAGGAGGCGGAGAAGGAGGAAGGAGGGGGGAGAAGGAGGAGGAGGAGAGGGGAGGGGAGGAGGAGGAGGAGGAGGAGGAGGAGGAGGAGGAGGAGGAGGAGGAGGAGGAGGAGGAGGAGAGGAGGAGGACGACGACCTGCATGTCCCTCGAGTCCCCCGATGTTTTTGCAAGTCCCTGGGCGCCTCCCGAGGATTCCGCAGGCCCGAAAAGGGCCAGAGACGCCCAAATACGTAACTATGTTAGCCAGCGTGGACCCCAAGCAGTGTATTCTAGTATACTCTGCGATGTGATATGTGCGATGCAGCCTACGTGGTGCAACCTATGCGGTGCAGCCCATGCAGTGCCAATCGATGCAGAGGAAAGGCCGCAGTGCAATCGATGCGGTGCAGTTTTGATGTCGCACCACATTGGTTGCATTAATGCTATGCTATGCTATGCTATTATGTGCTGTCCTGTGCTATGCTATGCTATGCCATGCCATGCTATGCTATGCTATGCTATGCTATGCTATGCTATGTTGTGCTATGCTATGCGGAGCTAAGCTCAGCTATGCCGAGCTAAGCTAAGCTTTGCCATGCTGCGGTGATCTGTGCTATGCTGTGCTATTCCCCAATCAGAGGTTGCCTCCGTAGGGGTCCTGGCATATTCATATGGTTAGGTGAGGTGGGCCGCCGATTTCGGTGGCCAGGCTGGGTGCCCGAGTGCCGGGGTGCCCGGGTGCCCGGTAGCCCTATAGCCCTATAGCCCTATATCCTTATGGCCCTGTAGCCCTATAGCCCTATAGCCCTATAGCCCTACAGCCCTGTAGCCCTATGGCCCTATAGCCCTATCTCCTTATAGCCCTATAGCCCTATAGCCCTATAGCCCTAAAGCCCCATAACCCTATAGCCCTATAGCCCTAATAACCCTATAGCCCTGTAGCATTATGGCCCTATAGCCCTATAGCCCTGTAGCCCTATAGCCCTACAGCCCTATAGCCCTATAGCCCTGTAGCCCTATAACCCTATAGCCCTATAGCCCTATAGCCCTATAGCCCTATAGCCCTATAGCCCTATAGCCCTATAGCCCTATAGCCCTATAGCCCGAAACAGAAATTGGATGGGGTCTTTCTCCGGTATCATGCTATGCTATGCTATGCTCTGCTGTGCTCTGCAAGTGGACGAGTGCGAGTGGCGGCGACGAGCGGCTGCGACGGGTGGCGGCGGGCGGCAACGAATCGACCAGACCGGCCCTGGACGAGTGCAAGT